CATTAGTCAACAGAGCCAAATACCAACAGTACAACGATTGAAATTTCTTTTGAGAGCCTGATTTTTTAAACTTAAACTATATAGGTAGGTACATTGTTATTAACTTAATTAGGGTACTCCTAAGCTGGCCTTTGCTAAAAATTTGAATAAACGCGAAAGTCTCGGTCCATTCAACTTTAAATTCACGGTTTTCGTCTTCCCTTTTTCTTTGCTTTTTCTTTGTAGCCATGTCAAACAGGGCACCTAAAAAAATGTTTCATTTTATAATAATAAAGCCACCAACACAAAATAATTACAATTCTTATATTAAAAAATAAAATACCTGTAGGATTTGCAGCTGATTGGAAAAATACAGGTAACTTTATGCTTCGAGTAGGTACTTTTCTTTTTTATTAGTGTAGATATGGTTATAACCACATTATGGCATATACAGTTTAATAATTTTTTCGAGTAGGTACTTTTGTCACCCGCACACAATTTGCAGATGCGACTAGCGCTAACCATGCACAGTGAGACTGCTGACTGACTGGCTCACTCAGCTCGTGCATGAATCGCGCGCACCTCCCCCGCGCTGCATATCCCGCGGCCCGCGGGTCTCCTGTCGTCCGACCCACTGACACCCCCCACTTCTTCTTACGCCACATCTTCCAAATAGACTCGCCTAGGCCAAAAACCGACTTCTGCGCATGGGCCACGGAGTTTCAATTGCAGTGTACGCATGTGGTATTTTGTGGAAGAGCCACACTCAAGGGGCCAAAGAGCCACATGTGGCTCGCGAGCCGCGGTTTGCTGATCACTGGTCTAGTGCATCTTTTTTTGGTAAACAAATACACTCATCTCTATTGGGGGTTGTGGAATTGCTGGGTTATGGTGTAGGCCAGGGGTGGGCAAACTTTTTGACTCGAGGGCCACAATGGGTTCTTAAACTGGACCGGAGGGCCGGAACAAAAGCACAGATGGAGTGATTGTGTGAACTAATATAAATTCAAAGTAAACATCATTACATAAAAGGGCACGGTCTTTTTTTTTTTTTTTAGTTTTATTCATTTCAAAGGGCCCGATCCGGCCCGCGGGCCGTAGTTTGCCCATGGCTGGTGTAGGCATATGTTGAATTTTAGTTTTTACTGCAAAGCAGTTTTCCATAATGGTTGACCATTTGATACTCCGACTAGCAGCTATTCCTTAACATCATTGTCAACACTTGGCTGTCAGCCATCTGGTGAGTGGGTTTAACTTGCATTTCCCTGTAACTAATGAGATTACGTGTTCTTGGTTGTGTGGTGTCTTTTCCTGTGAGGTGCCTTGTTCTTTTCACCCTGGTGGTTCTCTAGCTGACAGCTATAGCTCCGGCCCAGGCCTTCAGCAGACTCAGATCCGGACAGCCTAGGGAGCAGCAGGGAGTGGGGGTGGGGCCATGCAGGTGCTCTCCACTGTGGGGCATGCTGCTTTCAGGCCACTGGCCAGGGCAGGCCCCCTGTGTGCGGACACTTGGCCTCTAGAGGCTGGTCTCTGACCTCCATCGCAGCTCCCCAGGGAGCAGGCCATCCTCTTGGCTGAGGTGCCTGGTGTTTCATCACCGCAGGACTGCGTCACAAACACCTCAGCAGAGGCGCCACCCTCAGTGGGAGGACAGGGCAGGATCCAGGCGGGAAAACTAGGGATCTTCCAGTTCCTCCCCCTGCCTTAGCCCAAGCTATTGCTGGCTTCTTAGTCGCTGAGATGGGAATGTAAAAAGTGACTGGTGTGCCGGGGCCTCCACCACTGCTTAGCTGGGAGACCCAAGGTAACCGGCTTTGCCTTGCTGTGCCTCTGCCTACCCTAGGTGTGGTCACTGCCTCTCTAGTGGGTGGTTGGGAGCATTTGACACATTAAGCGCCCTGTCCATCACTGGTGACTGACACTATCTTTCCGTCCGGACGACAAAACGGGCTGGGCGCTTACCGTGTTAAGAGAGACTCCATGGGAACGCTGTCACCCTGCTCACAGCTACCCAGCTGGCAGTGACTCCGGACTCTGCAACCCTGACCACTCCAGGTCACACGTGGCTGCCTTCGCTTCTCTCTTCCTATCACGGCAGCCATGTGTTTGCGGGTTCTTAGGGGCTAGGCTGTGGGCTAAACCTTTGTACACACTGGGCGCGTCAGTGCTGAATCACGGAGGCTCCTTGAGGTGAAATGAAGTTGCTGGGTTGGGAAGGGGAGGGGAGAGGAGCGCTGAGATTGGATACCAGGCTCTGTCCTTTCCATCCACAGCACCCTTCCTTTGGACTCTGGGTCCATCCCAGCCCTTTGGGAACTATTCCAGACTGAACTCCCTCCTGGGAAAGTGCCATATTGGCCCGTGTGTTGGGGAGGAATTCCCTAAGCTCCCACCACAGCTGCCGGGCCCTCCGTGTGCTCCCAGCCACCTCTCCTGGCTTCTGACCTGCAGCCACGTGGACCCTTGGCAGTTCTCCCTGCTCACAAGCTCCTTTCTGCTTCAGAGGCTTTGCACTTGCTGTTCCCCTGCCTGAAATTCTTTTGCCTACATTTCAGGACTCACCCTGCTCACATGTCCCCCACGGCATGTGGCTGACATAGCTCCTTCCCCTGCCGTCCTTTTCTCTTGCTTTGTTTTTATTCTCAGCGGGGTCGCCACCACCTGCCATTGTTACTGTCTGCTTCCCCACCGGAAATGCGAGCTGCACGGAGGCAGAGGCTGTGTCTTAGTGATGCTCTGTGTCTGGCACCCAGGATAGTCTCTAGAGCTTAGGACACCCTCACACAAATGGGTGGCATGATTGGACTCTGGAAGTGTTTCTGTGGCTGTGCCTGTTCCTGGGCTGGGGAGCGGGGGTGTCTACTGGGGAGACTTGGATTCATTCACTGTGTACTCAGCCGATACCCAGACGTTGTGCTGGCTCACTGTGAGCACTAGCAGGTGTGGGGAGAATTGGTTGAGGAAGTGCACAGAGGGCACCCAGTGAAGCCTCTGAGGTCAGGAGGGCTCCTTGGAGGAGGAGTCGGTTCAGCTGAGACCTCCAGGAGAGAGAACTCACGAAGGTGTGGGGAATGGAGGCCAGAGGGAAGGCCTAAGTGACAAGCAGGCAGAGAGTAGGATGGGGGAAGAGGGATTGGGGAGGTGGTGCCGGCTGTAATCATTGTCATGGTCATAGCCTTTATTGAGGGCTTTCTAGGTGCCTCTTGGCTTACAGGGAGAGAAGGCCAGATTTAGGTGGGATGTAGGAGCTGAGTGCAGAGGTTGAGAACCCAGGGAGAAGACTGGTTAGGGGAGAGGAGAGGAGATGATGGGAGGTGAGGGAAGGTGGGGCCCGGTGGGAGCAGTGGTTAGGAAGCTGGGTGGCTGGGACCACCTGGTCAGCTGGGTAGGAGACAGAGGAGTACAGGCGGGCGGAGCCCGGGTCCTGAAGGGCCTTGAATCCCAAGCCTAGGAGCTTGTCACTTTCCCGAGGGCAGTGGGAAGCCATGGGAGGGTTTTGAGTAGGGGAAGGACATGGTTAGGTTTGAGGTCCTTCTGGCTGTGGAATGGGGGAAAGCTAGAAGGGGAGGAGTCTAGGGAGCAGGTATAGCGGGACCCTGCTGGGAAAGGATAGCGCTGGCCCTGAGCCAGACTCAGGGAGGGCTGGATGGAGAAACTGGTCACATTAGTGATTAAAACAGACAGGTGGGATATTGAGGATTGAAGGTCTGACAGTCCTGGGTATTGGGTTCATGGGGTGTGAGTCCTTCGGGGTGCCTGCCATGCCTACTGGTGAGGGGAGCCCCTGTTGCTGCTTCTGGCCCTGTCTTTGCAGGTTGGAGTTCAGAACATGATTTCTCAGCCCGCTGTTTACTTCCCTGTCACAGTTCATCTTGTCTCTCCCCTGCTTCCTCCCACTTACCTCCTTCCCTCTGCCCAGCCCGGCAGCTTGCCACGGTCACATGCCAGGCAGTAGTGTGTCCAGCCTACCAGCTCCCCTGGGGCACGGGAGAAAGCTGATGCCCACAGTGTCCCTAGAGGCAGCTGCCACTTCTCTGGGGCCGCAGTAGCTCCTGACCTGCTGTCCGCAAATAACCCTAGGCGAGGAAAGGCGAAAGGCGCCTTGGGCTCTGTGGCTCGTGGCTCCTGCCCAGGCCTGCGGCCCCAGGTAGGGGCCTGGCTGGTGGCTGCCTCCTGTCGTTCTCCCCTCCACCCTCCCGCCTGGGAACCTGAGACAGAATCAGCAGCCTCGGCGTCTGTCAGTCTATCAGCTGCTGGTCCCTGAGGACAGAAAGGGAGGTCTTAGGGAAGGAACCAGGGCCTTGATCAAGCCCCCGGGACTGGCTCCTGGGCCCCAGACAGGTGTCTGCACAGTAGGTTGCTTTCCTGGAGCACCTGAGGCCCTCTTTTTTTTTTAATGGGGCAAGGAGGGACCTGAGGCTGGGGAGCGAAGTGGGGTGGCCTGAGGCAGGGGAGTGGGAGTACTTGGTTTGCTAAAGATGGCAGGTTGTTGGCCTGGTTTGGAAAGGAGAGAGTGAGTGAGAGTGTGTGTGTGCTGGGGGGTGGCAGGCAGATGCTGTTGGCTTTGAGCACTCCCTCAGGTGCCCAGGGCTGTCTGATTCATCTAGGTTACCTCAGTGTTGGGGCATGGGAGTGACGCTGGGGGTGGGGCCATAGCTCCCTTACCACCCTCCCAGCCTGGAGTGAGGGTGGGTGGATGGGCTGCCTCTGCTCAGTGTGGGTGTTGTGGGTGTTGAACACAGGGTCTGGCCTGCACATAGGCCATGGAGCTCTGATCCCTGCAGAGTAGGGCTCTGTGGCCAGGGTTGTGTCCTTCCTGCTCCCCCACCTCTAGATTGGGGTCCCTGGAGACGCAGCCACATCCCCCCTTACTCCCACCCACTAGTTCTCCCACTCTCATTGGCTCCACCATGTACAGAACAAACAGCATTCACAGGGGCCACAGAGCCTGGAGGTCCCCTGGGAAGGGGCTGGGGCCCAGTCTCCCTCCAACTCTGATGAGCTCCTCTCTTGTCTTGCAGATTGTGCTCTGTTCCTGCATGTCCTGCTGCCCTGAACTGTCCTGAGCTAGGTGACAGCGTATCACGCTGCCACCATGAACGAGGTGTCTGTCATCAAAGAAGGCTGGCTCCACAAGCGTGGTAAGGGACCACTTATGCCTGTGGGACTGTGCATCTCTCTCTCTCTTCCTCCCCCCCCCATCCCCTCCCCTCCCCGCTCGTCCTGGCAGCTGATGTTGTGAGAAGCAGAGGTGCAGGGTCTTCACAGCATCCCAGCCAGTAGCTCCTTACCACTCATTTCATGAAATCCTTCAGCAGTAGTCTGGGCAGAGGAGCTGTGGCTCTGCCTGGGGTCAAGTCTCCGGGTCTACCTAGATACTTTGCATGAGCCCGCAGGCCAAGCTTTGAGCTCTGCTTCTGCACTAGTGACTTCATTCATAGCCCCATTTTATAGGTAAAGAAACTGAGGCTCAGAGAAGGGAAGTCATTAATTGAAATAACACACTCATTCAGCAAATACTCATCGAATGTGTGGTATATGCCAGGGTGTCCCAAGCTCTGGGGACAGTGTGGTGCCCTTACAGAGTTTTCATTCCATTGGGAGGTGGGGACAAACAAACAAATATGCAGACATGTGATGGTAGTGGTGATAAGTACTGTTGTGAAAATAGGAACTCTGAGAGGGAAGGGGCTGGAGAGAGATGGGTGGTCAGGGGAAGTCCTTCTGAGGAGATGAATAGAGGCTGGAGCAGGTAAGGGAGCGGGGTAAAGGTGACACAAGGACAAAAGTGGAAGTGTGGCTGGAGCAGGGAGTGAGGGAGGGAGAGCAGGAGGAAGTGGCATAGTGGAACTCTCTAGGTGATTGGAAGCCGAGGAGGTTGTGAATCGTGGTGTGACCGATCTGGTTGTACTGGTGAGCAGCCAGTGACTGAAGGTATTTACAGGGTAAAGACTAAGAGACAGACCTCTAGGTCCCAGGCTGCCTGTCCATAAAACTGTGGCACTTACCGGCTCTGCTGCTGCATGCAGCTGGGAAGGAGCACAAGCTGAGAGCTGGCTTGTCCAGGCTGAGGGGGAAGGAGGCAGGCTGTCCTGGCCTCCTGGACCTTCCTCTAGGGAGGGAGGGTTTCAGGCCTGTGATAGCTGCTCTTTGTGTGCTTTCATTCATTCAGCAGACATTTATTGAGCAGCTGCTGTGTTCCAGGCACTTATCTGGGCACTGGGGATATAGCAGTGAACCAAACAGGCAAAATCCCCGTCTTCATGTTCATGTCTTACATTTAATGGGGAGGGCAGTGGCCCTGGTGGTAAGTGCCATGGAGAAAAACCAAGCATCATGTACAGGAGGGGCTGTAAAACAGGCAGGGGGCACTGCCATAAACAGGGTGGTCAGAGAGAGCCTCGCTGAGAGGGGCCCATTTGAATAAAGACCCGAGGGAGGGAAGGGAGTGAGTCCCATGGCTAACTGAGGCAAGAGCATGAGGGTGAAGGGGACAGCCCACGAGTCTGGAGAGGGGAGTGGACAGGCATGTTTGAAGAGGGCAGGGAGGCTGATGGGGCTGGCCTTTAGGGAACAGGGAGAAGTGCCCACCCGTCCTGCCCTGTCCTAGGCTGCAGACAGCAGTGATGAGGGGCAGAGACAGTTCCCCAGGCCAGGCCTCCCCCATCAGACTGGGCAGGGAGATCTATTCCTGTTGCCCTCAAAAGACAGGGGTATCATTCAGGACATGTCAGTCTACCTCTCAGATTGGGCCTTGTGTTTGGGGCCATCGATGGAACTTTCTGAACCTGGGCAGATGTCAAGGTTCTAACCCTGGCTCTGCCACTTCCTCTTGGTGTGACTGTGAGTAAGCTGTCACCTCTCTGAGCCTTGGTTGCACATTTGTAAAATGGGTTAACAACACAGGCCTCTGACACTGTGAGCTCCTTGAGGGCAGGGGTTTGATCCAGTTTGTTTGCTGCGGTAGCCCCAGTGCCTAGAAAACACATGGCATGCAGTAGGTGCTCAGTAACCAATTGTTGAATGAATGGTTGAGATTGTGTGTGTGTGTGTGTGTGGTGGGCAGGGGTGGGGCGGGGGGCGGGCAGAGACCAGTGTGGTCTGTGGGCCAGAGTCTCAAGCTCCTGATTTTCCCAAGGCCCATGGGTGTGGGCTGGGGTGGGTGCCCTGGAGGTGGCTGGAGGACTGTGGCAGGGATGGGGGTTTGTCTCTAGTCCAGGTCTGCTGAGAGCATTAAGTGAATCTCAGCCCCTCTCAGGCCTTCACTGTCTTCATTTGTGCTACAGGGAGACCAGATGAGCTGTTGAGATGGCCTACCTGGGACACACTTGCCTTGGGTTTGCACCACACACACGTATTTGTTTCACTCCTGGGCCTCTCAGTGCCCGTTGTTCTGAGCAGCAGCTGGCAGAGATGGGCAAGGCAAGGTGGCTTCTGCTGACTGCAACTGTTTTGGCACCTGCACTAACCCACCCCTGGTGTTTACAATAATAGCAGTCCCAGTTTACTTTGTGCCCATTCTGTGCTAGGCATGGGCTGTGCTGGAGGCAAGCTCAGTTTTGTTGCATTTTCTTAGCTGTCTTGTGAGGCGGGCATCTTACAGATCAGGACACGGAGGCTAAGCAGGAAGACTGACTCGGGGTTCCTTTGAGAAGGTGGCAGCACTGCATCCTCTGACTTTGAACCAGTGCTTCCAAGGCCTGGTCCACAGGCTGCTTCTTGCCTGGTAAGGTCTGTTCAAAGAATGGCTGAAGTGAGAGCACCGTTATTGGAGTGGCTCATGCTATGTGCTGGTTCCCTTTCCAGAACAGCCTCTGCCAGGCCCCCCCAGGCTGGTCCTATCTGCCAGTTTAGAGGCAGAAAGTGTCGTGGTCAAGAGCGTGGACAAAGCAAACCCAGCTCCATCCTAGCTATTCTGGTCAACAGCTATGAGCCTTGGGCAAGTAATGGGACCTCTCTGTGCCTCAGTTTCCTCATTTGTAAACTGGGATTATTGTGGGGATGTTTTTTCTTTCCTTCTAGGTTTCTTTTGTCTTCTTAGCTTGTTCTTAGTATAAAACACTATAGGTTAAGTGCCTGGATCATAAGCTCATCCCCAAACTAGTTTCAGATTAAGAAATAGAACAAGACAGTCTCCAGAAGCCCCCTGCCACTCCCGAGCAGTAACTCTCCTAATTTCCAATAGCATAAGTGAGTTTTTCCGAGTTTTGTTTTATTTTTTTTAAAAATTGAGGTGAAATTTACATAACACAATATTAACTACAGGCAGTCCTCAGGTTACATCGGACTCGATACTACATAGTTTCGTGGTTACGTTGCCATCTCCCATTTACAGTATATATTTAAAAAAAAATTCCGTCATTTCGACGTATGTATATATGTGCTTTATGTTTTTTATTATTTATTTATCACAAGTAAAGGCCAGGAATTGTTATTTTTCTTTTACATTTTTTTTTTTATTTCTTTCACTTCATTACTGCTGTGTATGTGCTCCATGTGAGTGATGTGGGTGCTTATGTAGGTGGGTTCCGACTTACGGCGAAAATCGCATTATGTTGCACTGTAGGAACGGATCTCCGAAGTAACCCGAGGACCTACTGTATTTTCAAGTGTACAATTCAGTGGCTGTTAAGTACATTCACAGTGTTGTGTAACCACTACCTCTGTCTAGTTCCAAAACATTTCATCACCCTAAAAGAAGGCCCTGTACTCATTAAGCACTCAGTTCCCTTTCCCCCTCCTATCCCTGCAGCCACCAGTTTGTTTCGTCTTTATGGATTGACTTGTTCTGGATATTTCATATAAATGAATCAAACTATTTGTGGTCTTTTGTGTCTGGCGTTTTTCACTTAGCATAATGTTTTTGAGGTTCATCCATGCTGTAGCATGGATCAGCACTTCATTCCTTTTTATGTCCAAATAATATTCCATTGTGCGAATATACCACATTTTGTTTATCCATATCTGTTGATGGACATTTGAGTTATTTCTTCCTTTTGGCTATTGTGAATAGTACCGCAGTGAATATTTGTGTACAAGTATTTGAGTACTTCTATATTTATAATCTGTATTTATGTAAATTACACAAATTAGATCAAATATCCTATATTTATATGCTAAAAGTCTATATAATTAGATAACACATAGATGTAAATAATCTGGGTTATATATTCTATATTTATAATCTTCAGTGTATTCTATATTTAACTTTTAGAAGAAGTGCCAAACTTTTCCATATGGCTGCACCATTTTACATTTCCACCAGGTTTGAGTTTCTCCACATCCTCACCAACATTGTTCTTTTCCTTTTTTAATTGCAGCCATCCTAGTGGGTGTGAAGTGTTATCTCATGGCTTTGATTTGCATTTCCCTAATCACTAATGATGTTGAGCATCTTTTCATATGCTTGTTGCCCATTTTTATCCTTTGGAGAACTGTCTAGTCAGGTTCTTTGCCCATTGTATAATCAGGCTATTTGTCTTTTTGTTGTTGAGTTGTAAGAATTCTTTATGTATTCTAGATACTAAACTCTTATCAGATATATGATTTGCAAATATTTTTGCCCATTTTTTGTTTGTCTTTTTAGTTTCTTGATAATGTTCTTTGCATAAAAGTTTTTAATTTCAGTGAATCTACTTAATTTTTTCTTTTGTTGCTTGTATTTTGGGTGTCATATCTAAAAATCCATTGTCAAATCCAAGGTCAAGAAAATTTTTTTATAGCCCTGCAAGTGTGGCTCAGTTGGTTAGAGTGTCGTCCCATGAAGCAAATGGTCACAAGTTCGATACCTAAGTTGCTGGTGGCTTCCATCCCTGGTATGGGAGGCAACTAGACAACTGATGGATGCTTTTTCACATTGATGTTTCTCCTTCCCCCGCTTCCCCCCCCCCTCTTCCTCTCTCTAGAATCAATGAAGAACATATCCTCAGATGAGAATTAAAAAAAAAAATATTCTTGATTTTTTTTTTTATTTTTAAGAGAGCCTGAGGGAGAGAGAAACATTGATTTGTTGTTCCACTTATTGATGCGTTCATTGGTTGATTCTTGTATGTGCCCTGACTGGAAAACAAACCCTCAACCTTGGCGTATCAGGACAACACACTTACCCACTTAGCTACCTTACCAGATCCAAGGTCAGGAAGATCTACCCCTATGTATTCTTCTAAGAGTTTTATAGTTTTCTTATATTTAACTAGATCCTTTTGAGTTAATTTTTGTATGTGTGATACGGTGTGAGGTAAGCATCCAACTCTGGTTTTGTTTTTTGTTTTTTGCATGTGAATATTCAGTTGTCCCAGTACCATTTGTTGAATGGTCTTGACACTCCTGTTGAAAATCAGTTGACCATGGGTTTTTTTGTTTGTTTGCTTGTTTTTGACAATTCTATTCCATTGGCCTATATGTCAATCCTTATGCCACACTGATTCAATTATTTTAGCTTTGTAGTAAAATCAGAAAGTGTGAGTACTTTTACTTTGTTGTTCTTTTTCAATATTGTTTGGCTGTTTGGGGTCCCTTGCCATGTGAATTTGAATTCCATGTAAATTTGAGGATTGGCTTTTTCATTTCTGTAGAAGAGGATGTTGGAATATCGTTAGGGGATGTGCTGACTCTAGATTGCTTTGGTAGTGTTTTCATCTTAAATATATCAAATCTTTCAATTTGTGAACACAAGATGTCTTTGAATTATTTAGGTATTTCATTTCTTTCAGCAATGTTTTATAGTTTTTAGTGCATAAATCTTTTACCTCCATATGCTATTGTAAGTGGAATTGTTTTCTTAATCTTTTTTTGGATTGTTTACTGCTGGTGTATAGAAACACAACTGATTAGCCTGTTCTTTTGCTGAATTTGTTTATTAGTTCTAGTAATTGTTTCATGGATTCTTTGTGATTTTCTAAATATACAGGATCATGTCATCCTATATAATAAAAGCCTAATATGCTAAGTGTTCGGTCAACCAGTTGGCCGTTCAACCAATAAAAGCGTAACAGGATGATATGCTGAGGCTGCTCAACCGCTATGACATGCACTGACCACCAGGGGCAGATGCTCCATTCAGTATGTTAGCTTGCTGCTGGGGTCTGGCCAGTCGCGACTGAGTGAGAGGGGCTGGACATGCCCTGGAGCCCTCCTGCGGTCCCTCCCCTGTGGACCAACCTCCTCCATCCCTCCCTGGCCCCGATCGTGCACCGGTGGGATCACTAGGGCTGGCCGGTGCCCTCTCGCAATCCAAGACCCCTCAATGGATATCAGAGAGCTGGTTTCGGCCCGATCCCATATGCCAGGCCGAGGAACCCCACTGGAGTATGAATTCGTGCACCAGGCCTCTAGTCTTCAAATATAGATAGTTATACTTATTCTTTCACATCGGATGCCTTTTATCATTTTATTTTTCTCTAACTAAAATGTCCAATAACATGTTTAATAGTGGTGAAAGTGGACATTGTTGTCTTGTTTCTGATCTTAGGGGATCCTTTTGGTCTTTCATCACTGAGTATGATGTTAGCTGTGGGTTTTTCATAGATGCTCTCTATCATGTGGAGGAACTTCCCTTCTATTCCTAGTTTGCTGAGTATTTTTATCATGAAAGGATGTAGGATTTTGTCAAATGCTATTTCTGCCTCAATCGAAATGATCATGTGTCTTTTTTCCTTCATTTAATATTAAATTGAATGATTTTCATATATTGAACCACCCTTGCATTTCTGGGATAAAACCCACTTGGTCATGGTGTGTAATCCTTTTAATCTGTTGTTAAACTTGGGGTTTTGCTAGTTTTTGAACTTTATATACATGAAATTATTTAGTATCTAAAATTGGAAGAATTTAGTAAGTTAAAACCTATAAGATATACTTAGGACAGTATGTGGCACAAAGTACCACTATAATGTTATATCATCATCAGTATCATTTAATGCAGTGGTTCTCAACCCTCCTAATGCTGCGACCCTTTAATACAGTTCCCAACCATAAAATTATTTTTGTTGCTACTTCATAACTGTAATTTTGCTATTGTTATGAATCGTAATGTAAATATCTGATATGCAGGATGTATTTTCATTGTTACAAATTGAACATAATTCAAGCATAGTGATTAATCACAAAAACAATATGTAATTATATATGTGTTTTCCAATGGTCTTAGGCGACCCCTGTGAAAGGGTCGTTCGACCCCCAAAGGGGTCGCGACCCACAGGTTGAGAACTGCTGATTTAATGGATAGCCCCTTAAGAGGAAACAGGGATTCAGAAGTGAAATGACTTACTGGCGGCCGCACAGCAAATATAGCCCAGAGCTCACCTTGCCATCCTATTTCACATGTGCCATGTGAGCTGAGGGCTTAGACACTCTTTGCAAAGTAAGCTGATGATAAGAGCATTTGTTGAGCGCCTACAGTGTGTGCTCGGCCCTAAGCTGGAGGCTGTATGCTTGTGATCGCGTAGTTTTTAACAGTTTAAGATATAATTTGCATACTATACAATTCAGCCTTTTATTTACTTATTTAAAAATATATTTGTATTGATTTCAGAAAGTAAGAGAGAGGGAGAGAGAGGTAGAAACATCAATGATGAGAGAGAGTCATCGATCTGCTGCCTCCTGCACACCCCACACTGGGGATTGAGCCCACAGCCTGGGAATGTGCTCTGCCCGGGAATTGAACCGTGACCTCCTGGTTCATAGGTTTATGTTCAACCACTGAGCCATGCCAGCCGGGTGCAGTTCAGCCTTTTAAACTGTACAGTTCAGTGGCTTTTAGTACCCAGAGTGTGCAGCCATCTCCACAATTAATATTATCGCATTTTATTACCGTGCTCCTGCCTGCTTTCCTGTCTTCCCTCCTCCCACCTAGGTGCCTCTTGTGGTGCACAGTCTCACACACTGCTGTTCATGTCTACGGATTTGCCTAATCTGGACATTTTATGTAAATATGCTCTTCTAATTTGTGGTTCTTTTAGTTACGGTTCATCTGTGTTGTAGCGTGTGTTCATATTTTGTTTCTTTTTATGATTGAATAGTATTATATTATGTGGATATGCCATACTTTGTTTATCCATTCATTAGTTGATGGACTTCGGGGTCATTTTCACTTTTTACTATTATGAATAATGTTGCTATGGGCATTTATATACAAGTTTTGTTTCACCATCTCTATTTTTATCTTTTGAGGACTTAAATAGCATTTTATTTTATTGAAAACTTTTATTTTATTGAAATAAAATTGATGTACACTATCCTGTTTGTTTCAGTTGTACCTCAGGAATTTGATATTTACCAGGTGTACTGGTTAATAATGCGGATTTTTTTCACTAGATGGAGTTACACATTTGTTGATATATATGCAATTTGATATGTATGCTGTTTTGTTGTATTGACAACAGGCTTCAAAACTTCATATGACAAATTTTCAGAAGGTGTTAACATCATAGATATTTTTACACTTAAAATTGTAGATTTTCATGCCAAAAAAAGCATTTGTGGGAAGTTTTAATTCATTATTTTGAAGAAAAGTGCTGCTGAATACTTCGGGAAGCTTATGGTGAACATGCTCCATTTCAAGATACTTGTGAACGTTGGTTTAAACACTTTAAAAGAGATTATTTCGGTGTGAAAGACAAAGAATGTCCAGGTCAACCGAA